CCTGCTGTCAGCTCTGCCAGTGGGGCTGAGATGGGTTAGTGTCTCAGCTTCAGGGTAATGGAATTCTCTCTCCTGAAAAATGCAGCAAAAAAATGGAAATGCCATATATATGCATTTTAATAGCTCTGTGAKCAGTAAGAGCTGTTACTGTATCTGCCTTTTCTAGATGTCTGTTAAGAGGTTCAGGGGCCGTTCCTCAAAGGTCTGAACTTCCACAGCTCTGGTGGAGCGAKAAGTGAGCCAGGAAACCCAGCCTGGTCTCCAAGTTCTGTCTCTTCTTGAAGCAAAGCTTCGTGCAGTAGAGCTGTACAGCCCCACATCTGTGTTTTGCAGTCTCTGTGGCAACTGAGCTAAGAATTGTGCTGTCATTTTTCTCTCAGTCTTGTGGTGCTTGTGCAACATTGTCTTTGCAATTCTTACAAAATTCTCCTTCATTTTAATTTGTTTTAGGATTAGAAACCTTTCTGTTCTTAGCATTTAGTTATAACTGCTTTTTAGAAGAGCTTTGAAGATTACAATTGCGGACAATTATAGGTTTTATAATAGCTGCCTTCCAAATCTGTAGCTGTTGTCATGCAGATTTTCTTGATAAACTGGAGACGTCTTTCTGCCCCATAAAAGACAAACTCCCCATTGGCTTTAATTGCATGTTAGACTTTTGTGAGGGGTTAATATTTATWGTCAGAAATGGAGGACCATCCTTTCCTGTCTTTCCTCCACACATMGAAATTGCTACAGAAAAGGTGAAGCAAACTGGTCTTCAAATGAAGGGTGAAGACAAGAAATAAGTGTGGCAAAGGAATTTTCAGTGAGACAGCAGGAGAAGTCTTGCAAGGTTTAGCTTGGCAGAAGTCAGGGTTTCCTGTGGGGGAAGGTGGTCACTCTGTGGTTAGGGCTTCCCCAGGCATGTAGCTGTCCGTGCCAGGAACAGTTTAAGCCAAAGTGTCTCTGTCTCCCTTCAGGAGTTCTYGGTGCCACTTCCAGACCTGTGGTCTGTGACTCTCCCAGACCGTGGCTTTGTGTCTTTCTCTCTTTCATTTTTCCCCATTTGGTAGAGCAGCAGACCCCACATGCTTCTTTTGGAGCTGCAGTCCCAGATGTCCCATGAGGTTTCCCATTCTTGTGCCTGTGTTTATTAGCTGAAACGTGGCAGCACAGCTGGTCCCATAACTGTGCTTATTGCTTGGGATTTTTTTTCTCACTTTGTAGCTTTTTATGAATATAGTGCATATGGCTTTCCTCTCCAAGGAGCAGTACTATTTCCAAACTTTCCTCTTGTGAATACTGGGTATTTCTAATGACAGGATTTCTCCCTTCCCCCCGTCCCAGCCCTGCAGTTGTGGTTTTTCCTGTCTCTGGTGCCTTTTGCTGGCTGAAGATGAATTAGAACGAAGTGAAACAGTCATGAACCTGGATCCTGCATCCTGCAGGATGCAATCACCAATAATTTGGAGTCTTTATGCAACTGATACTTTATGGTATTGATGCTAGYTCGCTCCATGTCTGCAGCTCTTCCTGGGTTATCTAAAAGTAGTCATTTTTGTATTAGAACCATTTGTCAAATTGTCCAGGGAAGTCTGTAAATAGCTCTCACCTCCCATGTCGTAACACCAGCATTGGCCTCCCCTCACAACTCAGAAGCGGTGATTTTCTGTCAGCCCATACCAGGACACAATCACATGATGGAAAGGCTGGAATCAGGAGCTCTCCAGGGTGCTCTGTCTTAACAGCATTTTAAGACTAGGTTTGATGGGCCCCTCAGAAGGAAGCTGCAAAACACGTCCCAGGAACAAGGAGCCTGTTTAGCCAGTGAACTGCAGGCTGCCTGTACCCTGTGTCAGCACAGGGCTGGTCCCAGCTAGGGAGATCTCTCACTTAGAGCAACATGGGGTGAGGAAAGTGACTGGTTGTGCAGCTGGTATGGTCAGTGCAGCTGTCTGGTTTATCTGTTTTTYCCCCAACTTAGCTGTTCATCACATCTGTTTTGAGTTTGTAATAATCTGACCTGGACAAATAAATTTCAGGTGTGAAACCTCTCCTGATACKGTGGAGGTGTGTTGGGCTGGAGACCCCCAGAAACACCACATCACAGTCCAGTGGGCTGTTGGCTCATGGGCATTTTTAACCTGGTGATCATATCTTGTTGCTGCCTTCAACCCTGCTGTGACCACACTGGCTTTGACAGYGTCACTACAGGTCTCATGCCTGGGCCTTAAGCTGAACATGTTTTGAAATGTATCTTAAATGTATTTTTTTTCTGAAGGAAGGAGAGCTGCAGAGCAGTTGCATTTTCATACCCAGTGTCAYGTACACTCCCAGTTGGAAAGCAGCCTGGCCTCACACAGACTGCAGCCCCCAGAGCTGCTCCACTGCTGGAGTTTTCTGCCTGCTTGTTTTGTTCTGTCTCAGTGGGAAGCTTCACTGTCAGCAGTGGGTCTGCTTTGACTGGGTGTGCTCATATGGGCTTTGATGCTGTTTTCCCAAGGATGTAGAGGGTGATCTGGGATAGCAGAGCRGCACAAGAGAACAGTGGCTGAGGCAGCTGCTGCCTCTGTTGTTTTGGTGGAAGCAGCCAAGATTCTGACATTTGCTAACAGAGGGTGCAACCCCAGCAGTGTCAGAGGGACATAGCTAAAAGGTGTTACAGAAATGACTGAGTTCTGTGTGGCTGATGCTTGAATGTTCTGTCTTAAAGCTCTGGTGACCTGCCAGCCAGATGAATTCCAGTGTGGCGATGGGACCTGTATCCATGGAGCAAAGCAGTGTGACAAGGCGCAYGACTGCCCTGACAACAGCGACGAGGCCGGCTGTGTCCAAGGTAGGTGCACACAGTTTTGTGCTCCTCGTGCTCCATGGGGTAGATCTGCTAGGGCTGCATGGCCTCTGGAAAGGAAAGAGGCCTGTGCTGCTCCTTGGGCCATGCCAAGCTGCTTCCTCTATAGAGTTTTAAGCCATTCTAGCAATGGGATTGCTTGGGACAGATGATTGTGCCGACCAGGCAAGACTGCATGACCTGAACTGTTCTTTGCRTGAGGCTCAGTCTCAATGTTCATTTGCTTAATCCCATCCCATTCTTGCTAATGATGCCCTCTTGAGCTTTATGTCAGCCTGTGTGTTGTCATGAGCCTCATCTAACTTAGTTGCTTTCCTCTCTTGCCCAACATGACAGAGTCAGCATGTGAAAGTCCCAGCAAGTTTCAGTGTAAGAGTGGAGAGTGCATTGACGGAGGCAAAGTGTGCGATTCACATAGAGACTGCAGGGACTGGTCTGACGAGCCTCTGAAAGAATGTGGTACAGTACTTGCCTTCTACGTGTTGCTCCTGTTGTAACTGCTTCCCCTCTTCTCCATCTGGTGCTCACAGCTTTGAGTGTAACCACATGTAGCTGCTAATGCTATTTCTCACTCTGCTCCTCTTTCCTTGCCTTTATTCTCTCATCACCCTTCATATGAATATAATTAGTAGCTTAGTCTGATCATCTGTAAGTTTGAACTGTGCCCTTCCCCACTCAATTTTTATTCTTGGAGAGAAATATGAATTGAGCACGGGACTAGGAATGAGGAATTCCCCCTCTCCCCAAATACTAGTGTTCTCCACAGCACAGACCAGTTTATTTAGCCTCATTGCCTAAATGATCTTTGAATCCTAAGATGATGATAACACCATAAAAATACAGCGTTGGGAACATGTTTTGAAGGTGAAAACATGTAGAGTGGCAGCAATCCCTGAGAGATGACTTTCAGCCATTGCTGGATTGTACATGTTGTTGCTGCTTCCCTCAGCAATGACAGCAGGWTGCTCTCTGCAGCATCCTGCCAGCTCTGGGCTGTGGGAATGCCAGGAGAGCCAGGGCTGSCAGAGCCAGCAGAACAGAGCACGGGCCACAGAGCTGTGCCCCTCTCCATAGGGCAGTCCCTTTCTTGCCTTTCCCACCAGACATTGTGGGCACCAGCCCGAATCTGCAGCATTACTCAGACACATTTGTTGTTTTCCCCCATGCAGAGATGTCTCCAACAGGCATCTCTTTCCATCACATCACAGAGCTCAGTGGCTGTCCCTTCAGTAACTCCTGTTCAGGAAGAACTGTCAGTCTCTCGCTGTTTTAGATAAGGCAGTGTGTGTGCATGCCTAGTGAGGATGCTCTTACCTCATGCTTCCAGTGTGCCCTTGCTTTCTTCCACTAATCCACATCTCCCTGTTTCTCTGAGTGGCTGTTGCASTTGTCTGTGGAGGTCTCCCAACAAAGCTGGCAGCCTGGTTTGTCATAGCAGACTGGGCAGTGGCACAACACTGGGTTTAGTGTTCAACCCAGTGGTTGGAGTGCCAGACTGGTTCAGCCCTGGGCTGGCAATGAGGTGTTGTTTGAGATGGGAAGCAGAGAAGAGCCCCCAGGGGAAGGTGTTTCTTGAAGGGTGCAGTGCTGTGGGTTGCTGTGACTGTAATGCCCACACACAAGTTATCCCCACAGGAGGCAGAGGCAYAGAGCACTCCCCAGCTCCATGTGCCTGTTTAGCTGTGTTAAACGCTGCAGTGCCCTCTKACAGTCCCCCAAAAAAGCACTGCAGAAGACAGGATAACACTTGGCTATTTTAGTCAGGCAGGGAATGTAGTGCTGAAGTTTAGGTGAAGAGCAGCAGCTGCCCAGGCTCTCCCTGCCTGGCTCTGCCTGGCTCATCCTCAGCTCCTCTTGAGAAGTGCAGCAAGTGAACCAGCACTTGATTTACASTCCCTAAATCCATTCCACAAAGCACCTCTGAAACCATGGGAATCATCTGAGTGAGGGTTTGCCTATTAATCAAAACAGCCTTTGTAGTGTTTTGCAGAGAGCAGTTGTGCATGTTTATGACCCAATTTGCTATAGACCTGTGCAAGTGTAGGAATAGGAATTTCTGTCCATAAATGTCACTGAACAGTGACAAAACACAGCGGGGCTGTTGGACACCTTCTCGGACCCCGGTGAACCTGCTCTATTAATTATGTATTGAAATCTATAAATGTACCTGCTAGGAAGGTGAAAGCATCCCAGAGCTGAGATGGATTCCTTCTGGCATGGTGTTTTCCCAGTCTTACTGACTTAATTGGGTTGTGGTTGTTCCATTTTCTTCCAAGAGCARTGGTTTAATGGCTCTGTTGTGCTGCTCACCTGCAGTGTGCAAGGAAGYAAGAAGTAAAAGGTAAATGAAAAATTTGCCTTTAAATTGCATTKTAGATTGGAGCAAATCAGTTTTCCTTGTTTTGGTGAGTCCASTATCCCTGAAATCCCACAGCTGCTGTTCAGCAGTCTTCCTTAAGGAGAGAACTTTCTCTTCACCTACAAAAGGTCAATTACAACAAGAAGAAATGTTTTTGGTTTTTTTTTTGTTTTTTTTTCTGACAGGAAACCAGCTTTCCCCAACCTCTCATTCAGTTCTACTTACAAGAATCCATTTATTCTGTTTTTCATTTCAGCACTTGAGAGCAGAACCAGAGAGGTGGCCTTGGATTAGAAAAGGCCCCAGGAGAGGATGGGGGCTGTTGCTTCATAAATTGCACACTTGGGTTGCTGGGGGCTGCTAGCAAAGACTGTTGTGGGGGATGTGTTTGTGGGAGGACTGTATCTCAGTGCTAATGGAGTATCTCTGACAGACTGCACTTTRGTGTTTTCTGGAATTTTTCACATAGATCATTCCTTGGAGCTAGATAGGAAAATAGTACAGTATTTCAAAATAGCTGGCCCCTGGGAGATGAGAGTCCCCCAGCATGAATTATTAAAGCTCAGAGAGACTGTTCAGAAAAGTCAACATGAACCAGYGCATGGGGAAGGAGTATCCTGGAGAGAGCCCTTAGGTCCCTTGGAAGTTTCTCACATGWGGCAGAACAGCTCAAAGCAGCAGGTCTCTGATGGGATGAGATGCAGAGRCTCACATATGCTGTATCCCCAGGGCTCCCCATTCATTTAGCCACTAGCTTTGAGTCCAAACGATCCCACAGCATTGGTTTGGAATAATAAAGAACAAGAAAGTTATACAGTGGAGGCCTCCTATCTGTGAAGGCATTGTGCTCTATGGGGCCAGTTCATGGCTACCAAAACTGATAGAAATGGAAACATTTCTGAGGAAATCTCTTCATTTTATTCAATCTCACAACTAAAGCCCCCATTTGTCATAGGTGATGTGTGTATCCCCTGCAGGTGTTAATGAATGCTCTACAAACAACGGTGGCTGCTCACACATATGCAAGGACTTGAAGATTGGTTACGAGTGTGAATGCCCGCCTGGATACAAGCTTCTGGATAAAAAAACGTGTGGAGGTAATTGACATGCAAACAGCAGTCCCTTGTGTTTCACCATAGAGAGACGTGATTATATTCACTTGAGCATTGCTCCATCACAGATGGTTTGATTTCAAGTTATTGATGGGTTTCAAACACTCCTTTCAGACATAGATGAATGTGAGAATCCAGACGCTTGTAGCCAGATCTGCATTAATTACAAGGGAGACTACAAATGTGAGTGCTACGAAGGATACGAGATGGACACCCTGTCCAAGAACTGCAAAGCTGTAGGTAAGATAATGCCACAGGCACTAAAACTCTGCTTGCTCAACAGCACAACTCTGATAAGAAAACACGCTCGCAGGGCTGAGGCAGGGGAATGGAAACAAARGGAAACCCGCAAAGCAAGCAAAGACATTTCACTGCGAGCAGCACAGAACTGCTGCAGTGATAGCAGATGCGTCTCTAGGCAAGAACTACTGATCATGCAGATCAGAATATTTTAACAGTGTACAGAGCAAGATTGCAGTCACTACTTGGCTGTTTGAAGCTGAAACTAGAAAAGAAAGTCTTTTGACAGGTGTTATTGAAAACAGTGCAGCAAAAACATTTAGTGATAGTAGTACTGAAAGAAAGAAAACATCCCAATTAAAGCAGGGTATCTTAGCCACCCCTCCCCCTGCCCAGCTGTAAATCACTGAAATCTGGCCCAGGATTTTGCACGGAAATGGGAAATTGAAGATGAGGACGTTCCCCAGAGTGTTGCTTGTGGCTCAGTAGAACAGGCAGTCCAAGAGCCAGYGTGTGTTCAGGTACCACAGAGGTGCCTGTGTGTGACAGTCCTGCCTCTGGAGCAAGTTTCCACTTGCATTTAGTGTGGTGTAAAACACAGCTATCTGTGACTGATAGTTCCATTGTTGGTTGAGAAAAAAAAAGCTGAATCCAACCCYTGGGACAGCTGCTGACATGATAAATGTGCTGATTTTCTGTGGTAGGCAAGAGCCCATACCTGATCTTCACCAATCGCCAYGAGGTCCGTAAGATAGACCTGGTAAAAAGGGATTATTCCCGCATCATTCCYATGCTGAAGAATGTCGTAGCGCTGGATGTGGAGGTGTCAACAAACAGAATATATTGGTGTGACTTGTTCTACCGAAAAATCTACAGGTAAGGGGCAACAAAGGATGTGTGTGTTGGTCTCTTCCCAAAGCTGTGTTCCATCTGTACTCCCTAAAGCAATCCAGAGAACAGTGCAGGCTTCAGGACACCTGAAGGCTTTTCTGCCTTGACAGAATTACCTGTTGTGGCCCAGACTGGGTAATCCTTTTTAGGAATTGATAAAGACATCAAGGGCTTGTGCAGTTATCTCTGTGATAATACAGGGTGGCTTTTCATCAATGCTAGTCCCCACTGCAGTTAAATGTGGGCTCTTGTTTACTGAACCATGGATACTGCAAAGCAGGGCCAAGGCTGCTGCTGCGCTGTGAGTGTCGTACRGGAAGCCACAAAAGACCTGGCATCTGGAAACACAAAGGAGGCAAATAGAGGAAGCAAGGAAGCAGCAACACAGAMACAAGCTGCTGCCCACTGTAGCCTCTGGTAGACTGGGTTTAAATTCACAGCACCTGACCATAGTACATGTTCTGCAACTCTCATTCTCACTCCTCCTTCAGCTGTTTTTATGGCATCCATCACAGTTATTATGTGCTGGGGCTTATGAGTGTGCTTGGCCAAAAAAACATTTCATTTATGTGCTGAAAATCCCCTGAGTATATTCTGATTTGTATAGCTGTTGCAGCTTCTGCAGTGGTTTGCTCTGGATTTTAGCTAATGATCAGGCACAGGCTGATTGATGTCAGCACAGGGGAGCCAGGCCAGGGTTTCTGCAGGCCCTGGTAGCTTCTGTGCCACTGGCAAGGGTATCTGCCCAGGCTAAGCTAGGTATTGATCACCAGTGTCTGGGCAGGTACCCTGAGAGGCCTGTGGGGCTCTGAAAGGGGGGGGATGGTTCAGAAGAAAGCTGTCAGCTCTCACTGGGTCTGTCTGGGCAAGGGCTGAGTTCATACACAGAATTATCCAAGACACTGCTCCTGCAGCTCTCCAACAGCAAATGCCCTGGGCTGCAGGGAGTCCCTGGGAACAAGCACTCTGTGGTTGAGAGAATATTGCAAGGTGCAAACTGTGGTACAGAAGGTAATGCTGACAAGAGATCCCACCTTTCATAATGCTCACCCCACTTGCCTTTCCAGATCCTATCCTATTCAAGTGATTTCCCCTTTGGGGTGTCAGATCTTTTACAATATTTAGTTACTGGGAGAATTGGAATGCCACCTGTACTTGAGCCCTTCCATTGTGGAAGCCGTGGGAGCCTCCTGGCTTTCCCTCTTGCAGGCACAAGCAGGAAGYATGGAACACAACTGTCCCACTGGTGAGGGATTAACTGGCCTGGAATGTGCACTTAGAGCACATGGTGCTTGTCACACTGAAATCCTGGGGCTCTTGGGAGCACTGTCAAATGCCTGTAGAGCCCCAGTGTAACATTCCTTTGGTGCTGGGTCAGAGACAAGCCCAAATCATTCTTGTAGTAAAGATGCAGCATCTTGCTGGTCATSCAGGCTGACACTGCATGGGCCTCCCAGCCCTGACTGCAGATTGTAAAGCTGTCAGGAGCTGCTGGGTTTAGACAGTTYGGTTCCAAGATCTGATACTTGACAACTCAGCTACCATACAATTCACCTTCTAATTCCATGAGCAAAGACAGGATGGGCAGTGAACAGAAGATGTGAACCTTCTCATGATTTCAAATGTTTGGAGTGGGGGGCAGAAACTTCCTACTGTTTTATAACTGTTTTAAGACGTTCTGAATTATTCTAAGAGCCAGACCAAGCTTCTACAAACACTGATGCAAACTCAGAATAACTCAATTTCAGTTCACTCAGCAGAATTGGTACTGAGAGCAGAATCAGCTTGTATGGTTGTAGGAACAACATTTCAGATATTTATGAAACATCCATGTGGAATCTGCTGCCTTTCATTATCGTTTTGAAAGGCTGAAAGATTTTGAGGCTGCTACTAGTATTTAGTGAACATTTTCTTTGCATCTAATGAAATCACTTGCCAAATTAATGCAGCCTCATGAATTCCTTTGATGAATCATAATTAGCTACACAGCTCCTAATTCTGCGGTACATTTAAGCACATTTATKGCATGCTAAGTTCAACTCTGTTGAGGAGAGCCCTGGAGATTATATTTTTAATGTTCATAAATCCCATGAATCAATGCYGTGGAAGTTAACATGCCTGAAGTCAAGTGTTTTCCTGAATGGTGCAGTTACAGCAGGAAGCAGGTAGAACAACGAAATGACAGTTCCCTACTGTGGAAATGCTGCCATAGAGGAAGAGGGAAGTAAGAGGCCATAGGAGAAAGTAGAAGGCTGCAGGGAGCACCRTAAGGGTTCCTGTGTCAGCTGCACTGCCCATGGGGCCCAGCCTGTGGGAGCTGTGTGTGAGCCCTGTGACCCTCCTGTCCCTGCAGCGCCTACATTGACAAAGCGAGTGACACGGCCGAGCAGGTGATCCTGATCGACAGCCAGCTCAACTCCCCTGAGGGACTGGCCATTGACTGGGTTCACAAGAACATCTACTGGACAGACTCTGGAAACAAGACCATCTCAGTGGCCACTGCAGATGGAAGCAGGAGGAGGACACTTTTCAACAGTGACCTCAGTGAGCCCAGAGCCATCGCTGTGGATCCCACACAGAGGTAGGTGTCAACACCACAAACATCCCTTTGCCATCAGAGACATTCCAGTCGTCTTTTTGCCCCTGACAAACTTGGGGGTAGTTTTCATCTCACCAAGACCTCCGATGCCCTTTAAGATACACCCTGCAATGGGACTGTGGAGATTTAACTCACCCTTGGCAGGTCCCTGCTATTAAAGACAGTTCTGAAATTCATGGCCATGGTTCACATGTTCAAGGGGCCTGAGCTGGTCCTGGCRCAGAGGTTGTGCTGGGAAATGAGGTCTGTCTGACTTGTGTTTGGGCTATTTGGATGAGTGAATGCCAGGTACCTAAGAGGCACAGCCATGAGAGTTTACAAGGATTAGTTACTATAGTGACATTTTGCATTCCGGTACCTGCACTGCAGGTTTTGTGGCAGATTACCCAGTGAGAACTGCCTGTGGCTCCACCAGCAGAATTAACTGAAGGGGCTGAGGACTTTGCTATAATAAGGAGAGAACCTTAGGGCACCTCCTACTGCAATCAGCAGTGCAGGTTTCTCAACTAGACTCCAAGTTACTGTTTTCTTGCCTCTGCCTCTGTTAGGTTCATGTATTGGTCTGACTGGGGAGACAAAGCCAAGATYGAGAAGGCTGGTCTGAACGGCGTGGGGCGGCAGGTGCTGGTCACCGACAACATTGAGTGGCCAAATGGCATCACACTTGGTAAGTGTCCAGGTCAGAGCTACACTATCCAGTGGGGATGAAGGAAAGCTGATTTTATTGTTAGGCAGGAAAACAGAATGATAAATGGCAAAGTCACCTGCACACACAAATCCTGAACTAGTCTGTCACTATTGCTCACAAACATCAGTTCCTTTATTTCAGTAGCACAAGCAGGAAGTTTTGCTGCAGTCAGAACCTCATACTGCAGGAGCCTTGAGTTGCTTGTCATTGTGCCTTAAGGCAAAGGGGGAAGATGCAGAGCTGTGACAACCCTTTGGAATCCAGAAAGCATCAGAGTGTTAAGTGTCTGGGTCTGTGTCGGGAGCCATGTCAGGATCCTGCACTGGACTGATGAATGCCCAGGAAAAGGGACAGGGCCTGCAGAACCCATTCCCTGTCACCATTCCYTGCCTGCCCAGCTGCTCAGGGCAAATGGAACCCATCACTGGGCTGTGGTGGTTCTCACTGCCATACTAAGCTGTGAGTGGAAAGGAAGTTTCATGGAGCARCAGGGAACATTTTGCTCTGGAGATGGAGCTGTGTGTGTTTAACACCAGGCAGATAAGAGGTTCTCTGCTTGGCTTTGAAAATTCTGGCCATGKCAAGGATGTGGGAGGAAATGCTGCTGCTACTACATACTGCTGAAGTGCTACTGCTGTGAACAAATAATGCTATCATTTAGTAATTAAGAAATTAATTAATGACATGTTTAATTATATAACTTGTTTTGCTGGCTCTTATCCACTTGCATTCTGTTCAGTGAATCTCATCCAAAATGAGTGAATTTGCTCCAGAAAGAGAAATGCAGTGCTTAGCATTCCAAATAACATTGTATCCTTTCCTGCCACTCTTAACTGCACCCTCCCCAAAACGAGCTGGTTGTGATRGGACTGTTCCCACCAGCGATTCCCCCAGTCTGCAGTCTTAAGAAGGGTTTCTGGACCCAGCATTCTTCTTCACTGAAAATGTGTGAATCTCACAGCTCCTTTAGAGAGGTGTTTCTTTGGAATCTCAGTAGTTGTTCTCCARCAGAGGCCAAGGCCTGAACAGCCTTGGGAGGGATGGAGTTTCTCACTCAGGCACTGACGGAGGGAATCTGGGAAGCCCAAACTCCTGCTGCCCTGCTGCTCCTGGTAACAAAAGAACCTCATTGTACAAGGCTGTCAGTCAGGCATTCCCCACACACACACAGAGCAAAATGTTCCTCCTTTTTAATCTTATTTATAGGGTTTTATCCCAGCATATCTGGGCACYGATTCAAAATCAGAACTAGTGTTAAAAAAAAAATAGCCCCAATAACAAAGAGATTAGTCATGCWGCCAGCAGGAAAAACATGCTGGGCAAGCGCAAAAGAGTTGCAAGAGCYGTGTGTAATTTTGCTTCATTGTGTTTTACTTTCCAGATTTGCTGAATCAGCGTCTGTACTGGGTAGACTCCAAATTGCATTCACTGTCCTGCATTGATTTCAATGGCAGCAACAGAAAAGTTCTGATCTCCTCTGTGGATGATCTGAGCCATCCTTTTGGCTTGGCAGTRTTTGAGGTAAGAGTGGAAAACGGATGCAGAACAGACTGGAGCCTGTAAGAGGTCTCAGAGCTCTTTTTGATTAAAAGCTCTGCCTTTTGCACAGCACTGAGAGCTCAGTGAGGGTGGCCGCTGCTATAGAAACCGATTAACCTGGTGAGGGTTCAGCAGGGAAATTGGTTTTTAAAGCCCTTAATCAAGAGCAATGTGCTATCTCATGCTTTTACCTAATGAAGCACCAGTRCATTGGATGATCAGGGGAATAAATGCTTCAACTTTGGCACTCACTGTGGGCAACTAATAGCAGAGAAAGGTCCAGTTGGCTTTTGGCTCAGGAAAACCCTTGTCCTTAATCCCTTATTCCTCCTATATGAAGTGTGTGATATCTGGGCATCTAACTTTGGGCATGAGTTTCTCCAGGGCATTGCTGCTCTTTAGTATCATCCCCATCAGCAGCATTTGGAAGGATCTCTTAGGTTATTTCAACTCTCCCCATGCTTCCTGGTCTGAATGGCTGGGTAGAATAACAGACAGCCCTTTTGCTTTTGTGAAGCTGCCCTTGTCCAGCAATGTGGCTTTCCTTACAGAAACACGTATGAGTTTAGCAGGCAGAGCACTCACCAATGACCAAGCAACTAAATACTGTTTGATAACTGCTATTCCTGGGTACCTCATTCACTGAGAATTTTGTATCTTTCATTATAGTATGCCATGCAAAAGATAGTAATAAGAGAAAGAGGTGCTCAGCTTCTAGGTAGGCTCTAAGCACTGGCCTCTTCATAGATTCCTGTTTAATGCAGGTCTTATCTTTAGAAAGATAATGAAAAAAATCAGCAAAGATAACAAATGTTTCTAGTATGAGTACAGCCCTTCGCTCATGATCTGCCTCAGCTCACAAAGAAAACATAGTTCAGAAACAACACAGATGCARCTTGTCTGTACCTTAGCAAATTTCTGCTCCCTCACCTCAGTCTCAGAGCTACTCAGAATTACATAGCACTTTGTAAACTTGTAGAAGTGCTGGGCTTTTGAACATTGTCCAAAACAGAAAGAAACAAGCTGCAGACAACAGTAGCATGAACCAAAGGTGCCCCAAGGTAGGAACATGGTGAACTGACTTTGTGACTGCTGGAGTTGAATCCAGCTCGAGCAGGATTTGAGCAGGCCAGGTCAGGAATCCTGTCCATTCCCTGCAGGACAGAGTGTTCTGGACTGACCTGGAGAATGAAGCGATCTTCAGTGCAAACAGGCTCAATGGCTTGGACATCTCCATTCTGGCAGAGAATCTCAATAACCCTCATGACATCGTGGTGTTTCATGAATTAAAGCAGCCCAAAGGTAAGCACCCTGTCCTCAGCGTGTCATGGCTCTGGATCAGGTTTATTTGAGCTGGCAAATGAAATGCTCTCTGATGGTTCTTGATGAGAGAGAATGCACAGGTAATAATGGGAAATCAATGCCTAATGTTTACTGTTCCTGCATAATTAATTCAGCAGCAGCATTTATTGGRGAATCTGCAATTTGCTAATAGCTGTTTAATTAGCATCTGTGATAACAGTGAGTTACTCTTGTCATTGTGATGCTTCCCATTCATTATGTATTTGGGAAGTTTTTATAGTACTGTGTAAGGTTCCGCTCCACTGTACAAACTGTAAAGATGCTTAAACAGTGTGATAATTTGAGGTAGGGAGTGGAAGAAGGTATTTTCAGAGGATCTTACATTTCTTTACCAAGGGCAAAAAACAAATAATTAGAAAAATAACTTGTCTTTTCTTCCATCCTTGACCAGCACCAGATTCCTGTGAGCTCAGCCCCCAGCCAAATGGAGGCTGTGACTAYCTGTGTCTTCCTGCACCTCAGATTTCTCCCCATTCCCCCAAGTACACTTGTGCCTGTCCTGACAATATGTGGCTGGGTCCTGACATGAAAAAATGCTACAAAGGTAAATACAATCACATCTCCATTTCATTATTCCAACAAAATCATTTTTACAGTGAATATATTTCCTGATGCTGGAAACACAAACACCAGCTTCTTTAGTCCACTCTTGCTGCCCTCTGAACACAGCAGCGCTGTGGTGTCCTTTGTTGAAAATGTGCTTATTTTGGAAAGCTTAACCAGAAAAAAAAAGAACAGGAAGGACGGAAAAAAAGAACTAGAGCCCAGCACTAGAAGTGTGAATAGTCAATAAATAATTAAAATTGATTACTCATATATTGATATTTTATTATGTCATCTATAAATGCAATATATGCTTATATATACTTAGATATCTATATATCTATCTATAGATAGATACCAGATCTGGAGAGGCCACAGTCATTGCTGATAATCCTGAAGAGATGAATGGTTTCAGTGTAGTTTTCCATAACATATTTCATTATCTTCTGAGGTTCTGAAAAAAAGCCACAAGTTTGTTAACTTCTTAGCTACCTTCAATACAGAGTACTTTTTTTATCAGTATTAAGAGATCAAGCTTGACTTCAGGAAATCGTTTCTGTAGCTTTAGGCAGAGAACTATTGATAGTTTGACTACCTGGGAAATAGAAYTGGAATTTGGTTTCTGCTTGTCTTCATTAAATGTAACGGTCCTTCCCAGATTCGTGTCACCATTTGTAATTTGTTTTGTGTACTTGCAAATCTCATTGTTGCTCTTTTTTTCAGATCTTCCAACTACAGCAACTCCTGTAGTGGTTTCCACAACTGCAGCATCCCGTGCTGCTGGCACCACAACCATCGCTGCTGTACCTGGCAGTGCCAACACCACTGAAGTTGTCCCCAAAGCTGTACCAGAAGCTACMATTACCACCCCAAGTCTTCATTTACCTTCCACCACATCAATCCTGATAGACTCTGAGATCACCACTGGAAACAGCAATTTATCACAGCACTGTAAGARAATGAGATTCTTCTTTTTTCTCTGTTTGTGGTATCACAATTCCTCATGTATTGGGGGAGACCTGACCTAATGTCTGAGTCCCAGAGGGGGCAGGTTCAGGCACATCCTGGTGCATAGCAGGAGACATCAGCTCCTCCCTCTGCAGWCACCTGGCTTAAAATGGCTGCTGTGAATCCAGTCACTTGGCATATTAAGGCACTTATATCAGGTTTTATCCCAGACACATGAATGGCCCCGAAAGTTCACACCAGCCCTTGCCTTGCACTGGSTCATCGCAGCTTCAGTGTGGTTTGCAGTACTGCTGCAGGCAGTAGAATGGATGATTCTGCAGGTGCTTCACCTATTTTAATTGTTTCATTATTAATGTGATCCAGCACAAGTTCTGGGTGAAAAATTCCCCCTGTGCAGCTTTAGTGCTGCTGGACATGTGGAATCRCTACAGCCCAAGACAAGCTGCCTCTGGTTTGTGTGGCCGTGCTTGGCATGTTAATGTGGCCTCATCATGACACAGGTTTGAAGTTTTGCATTATTTATCAGAAAAACATCCCAGTGGAGAGCACTAATAGGCTCTCCTCAATGGAACACCAGCCTACATCTCAGAGCTAACAGGCAATCCCTCCAGGTCCTGCTGCCAAGGCAAAGCAGAAAGGCTGAACTGCTGTTSAAAAAAAAAAAAATCTAGTCCAGAGAGAAGTTTTTTCTCTGCAGGACTTCAAACAGAYATGTATGTTTAAGAACAGTAAAATGCTTCTTACCCCCAAATGTTTCATTGTCTACATGGCATCTGGAAAGCAGCAMTATACCACCCCTGTCTGTAAGAACAGTGGTGCAGTGCATTGCATGCTGCACAGGGAAAGCATAGTCCAATCGCTAAAATGCCTTCAGTTCTCTTTGTGCAAGTTTCTTTCAAATGCAATAATTACCTTTTAATAAGCCGTGGAAGCAAGGTGCTTTTATTGTCCACTTTGGAAGCAGTCTGGCTTTTYATTAAGTAAATAACTGTGTAATTGAACAGCCTGCCACAGGGAAGTTTATTTAAAGGTTGCATGAACTTATGTATCAAAAGAAAAACTATWATTAGTTCCTCCTCTCTCAATTCCTGATACTTTAGCAAAAGTAAATTTTCTATACTGATCCCCTGTATAAGAGCTCAGAGTGAACATTTTAAAGTATGGAAATTTAAAGGATATTGAATTTTTTAAAATTGTCTTTCCCTAAAATTGCTTTTTTCTCTTGTAAGCACACTATTGAATTTTGAGGTCATTCTTGCATGCTGGGGACAGGCTGAAGCAAGGACAGCTATATGTGTTCACTAACTCCTTAGCTGTAAATAATGAAAAAGCTAAGAATTAAACAGAGATGCTGTGCAGATGGCTTTGAACTACATTCTTATTCTGACAGTTCAATAAATCTTTAATTGTGTCAGTACTAGAAAGTGTTCTGCTGTGGATTTTTAAGAGCGCTGTTCACCATCCCCTAATCCGTGCATGGCATTTCCATTAAATGTCATGTTTTCAAAACTGGCCTCCTTTTTTGTGCTTGAAAATTAGAGGCCTAAGCACAGTCACCCATTTCTGGTCAGAGTTTCCCTGACAGCCCTGTACCAAGCATGTCCCTTCACAGGCCACAGGCTCTGGGATGCCCCTGTCCCCYGGCGAGGCAGCAGCACTGCAGGAACCTCATTCCTCAGGAGGAGCTCAGCTCAGCCCAGATCTGTTTGTGCTGCTCTGTGTCGCCAGAATAATTTTATTATGAAACGTTTTGTAAATTCTTTTATTATGAAAGCTTTCTGATGGGCAGAACAACATGGGTACTAACAGAAAACATCTTTTAAAACCAGCAAATAAGTTAAATGATCAGAACACTTCTGTAATTACAGATGCAAATGATGATGAAGTCTTCGGTTCAACTGTGACAGCAGCTGTGATTGGAATTGTCATTCCTGTGGGTAAGCAGATTAGATTTAAACTTTGAAGGAGATCACACTGAAGTGCAATACCAAAATACTGTATTTATCACAATTATTACGCTTTTCCAGTTCTCAGGGGTAGGGTGAGAAAGAGTACAGGAACTGTTGAACTGGGGAAGAGTAGCCTGGCTTTGAGAAAATGTTCTGAGGATGGCTGCCAACATGGGAACATCCCAGCAGATCCRTGCCTGACTAACAGCCCTTTCTCTCCCCTCTCCTCAGTGGTCATTGGCTTGCTGTGCATGGGGGGATATCTCATCTGGAGAAACTGGAAACGGAAGAATACTAAAAGCATGAATTTTGATAATCCAGTTTATAGGAAGACAACAGAAGAGGAAGATGAAGATGAAATCCACATTGGGCGAACTGCCCAAATTGGACACGTGTACCCAGCAGTAAGTACCTGGGGAGGTGGCTGATGGAGAAGATTAATTTTATGGAGAGTTCCAATACAGAATTTGGATTAGTGCTGCTTATTTGCCATCTAATGACAAAAAACAGAGCTTCTTTAGTATCCTTGATTAGGCAGAAGCCTAAACTTCTGGCAACCCATGCAGCTGTCATAGAATAGAGTGCTGTGTATCAGATACTCTGCTCCAATGAAGAATAATTGTCCTAATCAATGCACCAATCTGACAAATGTATAGCTCCCTCAAGAGCTACCTCAGTTTGGAACAGGYGATTACTCATCCTCCACTGGATTCCATTATATCTTGTGCTTAGGCTTTAGTGTCTAAACTATCTTAGGGATAAACTGTGTCTCTGTACAAACCAGGGAGAATATTTTGTCTGTAGTGACAGTAKAAAGAAAAGCCCCTCACAAGGAGGAGTGAGGGAGGTTCTGCAAGAAGTTAAGGAAAAGGATCCCCCTCCAGAGCAGCATCCCTGGGGAGAGGAGCACTGGCAGGTGTAACTGCGCTATATTTTCAGAGGGGAGCAGAAAGTTCCATAGTAATGAGTGAAGGCGATACAGCTCCTATGGGCAGGCAGCTGGGTAGGTAATGTCCTATATCATCTAAAGGTCCCACACAAGATCATGCTGGAGAAGATGCCATCCCGTACAAGAAACCTTATCCAAAACAGGAAGAACAGGAAACTTTCCAGCACCTCTTTAGTAAGTGACCTTTAGTAAGTAAGCACACTTAAGCAAGTGACCTTATTTGGGGAGAAAAAAAATCACTATCTAGAATTGATTTGTCACCAATACACTTAGGCACAACCATGGGAGTTTTAACAAGAAATGTAAGTCATCACAGTTCACAAAAGTGTGTTTTTTCCCTCCCCAGCGTGTAGCATTAAGCTTAGAAGATGATGGGTTGCCATGAGGATGAAGATGCTGCTCCAATCRACTGAACACTGAACAAATCTGCTTTGGATCACAGAACCTGCTTCTTCTTTTTGGTCATTATTTATGTTGCAGAAGGGTAACCACAAAGTTATAATGAACTGCAAACATCCAAAGGATGTGAGAGYTTTGTATGTATAATCTTTTATACACATTTTAACTTGTTGCACTACCCATTTGTGATAGTGAATAAGCAACAGCTGAGCTACTAACTCAATGTACATAACCAGCCAGGCTGAAGGTTCAGTAGCTAYTGCTTTATTTTAAGACTATATTTATAGATATTTTGTAAATATGTTGAATATGCTTTGTGGCTATCCATCAACATAAGTAAAATAAATTCTGTACAGGCAGTTTAGAAATATTTATTAACAAAATCTGGATTATAAGATCTGTTCTGTAAATATAGTAGAGGGGTGAGAGTATTTATTTTTTGTATGTTTGGCTTGCTGTGCATAGATTATCTGTGTATATATCTATCTGGACAAGATAGATATATAGGCATATAAATATATACATATATATAAAAATATATACATATATTTTAAAACTACTAGCCTACATTTATGAAAATTAGGGATAATTGAATTTTTACAGGATGTTTGAGAMGTTTGCTTTGAAATCTAAAGACACTATGTAAGGAAGAGCTGTAGTGTAAGATAGCTGACCAGTGAAGCACTCCATAACAAACAGCTTCTGATTTCCATCCTGGCTTTTAAGGGTTGCTTTTACATTTTCCAGTTTATTCCATGAAGAATCCAAGCAGTGCATTTAACTGGAGAGCTATTGCCTACAGCGTTTCAGTCAGGGGAAAATCCTACAGCACCCAGGGTTTTTGTGCCGTATTGTTGCTTTTTTTACAGCTTGGTACAAATCTGATTYGTTTTTTATTTGTTTGTTTCTAAAAGTAAATCTGAATGCTTTTCCACACTTGGAATCTTGCACCTCTCAAATCAGCTCATGTTTAACAAAGATTTAGCCATATATTTCCACACTCCCAAGTGAGTGCCCTCCTTAGTTCATTAGGAAAATAACACAATAACAAAAGTCACTTCCTTTCCTCCTTGCCCGTGTCCCCTGTTCATGCTGATTAAAAATCCAATTTTATGAGCTGCTGTAGGCACACACAGAACTCTTTGAAGTGCAGCAGTTCCCTTCCAAACTACTGCTCATGGAAGAGCA